CGTACCATATCCACCAGGCACGCACACTATTACACTGTGTCACAGTGTAAGTGTAGCAGTGTGCGTGTCTGGCGGAGCCAAGTCAGTTGCGAGCGGACGCTCCCTCCGTCAGACACGCACACTGTCACACTGTGCATGTACATGTCGTACCACATCGAAAGATCGACCGCCGCGCCACCGTGAATTGCAATAACTATAAACGTGATAGATTTTTCTGGCGTTTCCCATAGTCGCCTTTTACAAAACCCGCGGTACGAAATGTGGTGGTGGATCTTCTCACGTCGCCATTACACGGCGAAGCAGAAATATACATTACACAGTACGCGAGCAACACGGGTTCGGTCCCCGCTGACACCAATGAAATCGAATACCTGCAATTTTAAACTCACAGACTAAAGCGAGGCTGAAATTTCACAGAACGCGAATAACCCGAGTTCGATCACCGCCTGCGCCAATATAATTCATAGTTGCAATTTTAAGTAGTGGTTCAAAACTTGCTTGGCGGACCTTAAGGTGGCCCTAGTCGATAGCTCGAACTAAATGGTGGGCGGGGTTAAAATGCATGCTATCTCAGCCGACATCACGTGCGAAAGGGATAGACGCTGTGATGAACAGTAAGAAGCTAGTGCGCACACACATACGCACTCCTGAGTGACGCAAAGCGACGGCGTCATCGCGTACCTACATATTGCGATTCTTTTTTGAATGACAACATAAACTCAAACCGCAATTGAAAGTTCCTTGGCGCAGTGGCTGCGCTGGGGTCGCGGGTTCGAATCCCGCACGGAACAAATATTTTTATGGCCTACAAATAGTTGTTCCGGGTCTGGATGTTTGTCCTTGTGCAATTTATGTTTGTAAACTGCCTCCACGATACAGGAGAAAATCCTACTGTGGGGGTAACGTATTTTAAAAAGAGAAAAGAGAGAGGAAACTAATTGGTGTTATTATTATGAACCCAATTTAGTTGTTATTATGAAAGTTCTTATGTGAATTTATGTAGATGTTGTTATTATATAATAATTTCATTGATTTGTTTTTACCTACTTTTTAACCGACTTCGAAAAAAGGAGGCGGTTTCAATTCGTTGTTTTTTGGTTATCTATATTTTGTTCCCCTGTTGTTATTATTTTTTGGTTTGAAAGAATATACTTTCCAGATGATCCCATGGTAATCGATGATGGTCATGGTCATGATGATGGGATCTTGGAGAAATCGAGGGAACTCAAATCAACCGCGATTGGTACTATCGCGTATCTATGCATTCTTTACGCAACCACACAGTATAATATCAGTGGTCAGTCCAAACAAATAAAAGGCGCGATTGTAGAAAGAGATTCGTTACGAAACGTTTATAGGCTAGGGGGCTTGGCCTGTTTATGCTATTGATAACGAAGGCTATAAAATATGTACAAATTAGAAACTAAATCCTATGTGTACTTATTTGTATTCATAGCCCAATATCTGAGGTAGGTTGATGCGCTCCTTGATTTTTATGTAGTTCGTATTATTCTGTAATAAATTAAATCTAAACTAAAATATATACTATAATACCATAGCAAAGCTGCTACTATTTTATTAAGTAGTAGCTTATATAGTAGTATAGTAAATTATATATAAAAAATATGAGTATGTCTGAGGTTAGGTTAAATATAAACAAATATTTGCCAAGTGCGAATCCGACTTCCGAGCTTCCGTACCATCTTAAAAGATTTAATATACATATTACTATCGATCAAAAAAAAGCCAAAAATACACGTTTCTTTTTCTAGTAGGAGACTCTATTCAAATTTATTTTTACTATTTGCTGTTATAGCGGCAACAGAAATACATGTTCTGTGAAAATTACAACCATCTACCTACTTATTACGGATCATGAGATGCAGCCCGCTGACAGACAGACACAGCGACAGCGGAGGCTTCGTAATAGGGCTCTGCTGGTTACCCTTCGGGTACGGAATCCTAAAAAGTACTTAGTTGTCCACTCACATCTGTATGGTTCTTTCTTCAAAGGACCATTAGCCACCTGCCTGGTTCTCGTATGACATGACCAATGTAATACCTGGACTGAGCTCTCTGAGTTTGTATCGGCAGATCGAGTGCTTCTTCTCAGTTTCATGTTTTTGTTGTGTTAAAGTGTTTTAAAAAAAAAACAACTTAGAAAACAAATTTTATTTATCATTGACTGCCCTTCTTAGATTCTTATGTACTTACATAAATTACATTAGGTATATTAGGTTAAGAGATTCCTATACGTAAGCACGATTATCGAAAATCTAAAAATTACCTATTCTAATTAAATTTATAGATAATTTTAAGATTTTCGACAATCGTGCTTATCAATGAGATGTTTTCGTTAGTTGGCAAATTAAAGTAGTTAAGTAGGTACCTAATGTACTCCCTGTATCTAAAGTTCATTATTATGTACCTACGTGTTTTCAATTTTAACTACATGTGCTTCAACAAAGTTATGGGTACATTTTAGCAGCTATATTCATCCCGGCTTCAGCAAGTGGACACGAACAAAAGGAGCAATTTTTCTAAATAAAGATGTAGATATGTAGGTATTACAACCATAAATAGATAGCAGCGGCTAACCTAGTGAGCTTGTGTGAGTGCGTGCTGCCCCCCCCTTCCGTCCGTCCCACTGATCGGGGAAACAATTTGTAGGGAAAGGCAAGATAATTTACAACAAAAAGGAGCGCGCGAAATTTTATAAACAGACCTTTGGGAGTCTAGATGTCATGAAAAATCTATTGAATGTATCTGTTCAAAATAAAATTATTTGCATTTTTGAACAATTAATCTATCCCTGTATGGTAAATGTTTTGCAATTTTCGTTCTTCTTATGGTATTTATTTCCGCCCAAAGACGTGTTAAAAATAGTGTTGAAATTCGGAATTTTCGACGCTTATAACTTTTAAACATACTCTTTTTTTACTTTTTTGTTTCCATACAGGGCTAGATAATGATGAGACAAATTGAAATCATTTTTTATTTTGAACGTACACCATCAAACAGTGGAGTAATCGCCAGACTACGTTTGTATGGAAGAACGAGTGACTAGTGTACCCTTAAAACTCTCTCACAAGGAAACTACCTAGTACCTAGTAGTGAGAAGTAATAGGCCATTTTTACTTTGAATGCTATTGTTCGTAAATAAGAGTCAATACAAAGATATCAATGTACTGGAAGTTTCCAGTTATCAATTAACGCAGTCATCATTGTAAGTATTTACTAAGAACATATTATGTTCAAATACTCGTGTATTTGTAAAGCTGACTGAAAGTACGCGGGAGTTCTTTTGAACAAATGTGCAATGCTAAGAAAGTTCTAGATGAGTCACAGTCTAGAATATGTGGACAATTATGATAGTTGAGACAGGAGTTGCCAACCCAAACACAAATATAAGTTTCCACGCTTGCCAAGTAGCTTGGAAACCGCAGTTTTTTTATTTTCTAGTTTATATAAGAGAACATGACGTAAATAAACAAGCAAAAATTTTTTTGCAAAACTGCGTGTGCATATACACTACAACTCACCAAAGGTAATAATAGCATACGGGGAAAAACAAAAAGAAGTTAAATTAGCGTAACAACGTAACGCTCCCGCGACCATGTAGGGAAAATAAGTTCAAGTTAATTTCATAATTTTCTTGTAAATATAATAAAACATCATAGTATAAACATTTGCAACCCTAGCCGAGACTTTTAACTGAGGAAGTCCTTGTATGTTGGGGTCACACTGGGGTCAGCGCTTAATGGGAGGTAATTGATAAATTGCATTACTATTTAATTATAGGAGTTGTTAACATAGATATTAAAGCAAAACATGTAGGTTTGTACTACAATTAAGATTCGTGACGGTAGTGTGGTCACCTTAAACTTTGCTGCCCTATCAAACCAAAACTAGGAGGAACAGGGAGACGAAAACACTAAGTCGTATACTATAACTAATATATTAAGAAAAAATAGCAAACAAGCTTTGGCAATAATTAGAAACACTTCGAAAAATTTACTTAAAAGAACTAACTACACTACACAATACTAAAATCGACTAAATACTAGAATCGACGTCGATAAAGTAGCGCCCTTTTGACAGAATATTATTTGATTGACTGATGAAGAGCTATCGTATCACAGAGCCATCTATGCAAACAAGGTTGTAATTTTTTCGAGAAGAAATTGATTGAATTACCCTTACGTAGGTACTATATACACAAATAAGATTCATATTAATTGACATGCTTGCGTTCACACATTGATAAAAATTTGAATGAAATAACCTGAAAAAAACTGCAACAGGAAAAGGGTAGCAGTCCACATTAGGATTTTCTCCTGTATTGTAGAGGCAGTTTACATACACAAACTTCACAACAACAAATGTCCAGACTCGGAACAATTATTTGTAGGCCATACAAATACTTGTCACGCGAAGGATTTGAACCCGCTCGCCCTCAGCGTCGCAAGTCATTGCTAAACCACTACGCTTCATAACCGCCAAAGGTTGGGTTTAATAATTTGTAAGTAACGTAATGATTGAAAGCTCTTTTTACGTGGCAGAGCCACGCTGCAGCTATATTAGTTGCAGCACGAATGAGTCAGCTCGACCGGGGAAGGAGCACGCCCTCACAGAATACCAGCGTGAAATAGTAGCTAAAGGCTATTGTGTTTCGTATGGTGAGTGTAGAGAACTGGAGACCCTTTTTTACTGGAAACGAGGCATTCCATCTTAGTCCTCAGGGTGACAGCAACCACTTACCATCAGGTGGACTGTGTGCTCGTAAGTCACCCTTATTCTATAAAAAAATTACTATTATTTCTGTGAAAAAACCATTGCATGTATTAACAAGTTATATGGGAGAAGCATCAGCTTTCAAACAAAAAAGGAACCATCAAAATCGGTTCACCTACAAAAAAGTTGTGAAGTAACACATATAAAAAACATACAGTCGAATTGAGAACCTCCTCCTTTTTGAATTCGGTTAAAAAGAAACTTACCAATAACGACCACCTCCTTGTAGATCACGTCATCTGATAAAGTGTGTTGGCAGGGTTTCATGTTGTCCCTCATTATAGCGACGCAGATTCTATCGTACAACCCTCGCAGTTTCTTTTCTTAGTAAACCGATTATAATATATTTATATATATTCTGTGGTTTCGAATTTAGAATTCAGTGTTCTAATTTCAAATTAGTAAATAAATTAAGCAGTTAAATTATATCACAGGCAGTTTAAAGTCTTATGAGACTGTTCTAAAATGCTATTTTACTTTTCTCCGGCGTCGACGGACTCGTAAATAATACAGGTCTATGGTTGACGTTCTTGTTGAAGTATTCAGGATGGTTTTTTAATCTGTAACAAGTAGAAAAAAAAAACAATGAGAAGATCGAAATGTGGCCAAATAATAAACATAGTTACGCTTTTAAGGTATGGATAACGGAGCAGTAAATATAACAGAACGCAAGTAGCCCGGGTTCGATCCCTGCCGGCACCAATGAAATTGTTAATTGCAAAAAAAAATTGAAGAAAACTCCTAGTAAAACACAAAATGGTGGACCGCCAAGCATCCGGATGATATGGATGGTATCATGAATTTTTACGCGATGTGCGTTTGTGAAATTTAGCGGCTGGAATTAATCCGAACAATTTCCTCAGAGCACTCCCCGTGGTAGATGCGCTAGAAAATGCAAAGAGATGCAACGTCTCTTCACAGCGCCAGTGAATCGAGCCGATCGGAAAGCACTCGGTCGTCGACGATTTGAGTCGCTCTGCGCTGAAATGAATGAAATGAAATGAGAACAGTATTTCATGTGAGGCTGAACTTGTGCTTCGTGAAGTTGAAAGCGATATACGGGCATGAAATAGTGTAAATAACCAGAGACTATTTTACCGGAGACGAGGCATTCCATCTTAGTCCTCAGGGGAGACAACACATCTGCATTTTGATTCTTTATCGAGGATATATTTAGATGTTTATGGGTCACAGCATCCACTTACCATTAAAAACTAAAACTAAAGGCTACAACGCAGGTCTTCTATGATTTTAGCTTTCGGGATTGCTTGTACTATGCTGACACGTGAAACAACAAATGCTATGTTCGCAGAATATTGATTCTGGCTAGCTTACGAAAAAAATCCACGATTCGGTTTTTCGGAACTTGGCACTGATCACTATGCCAAGCGTTATCATGGCAGTTATATCGCGTGGAACTGATACGTTAACATCGCGAGATTATGTATGTAGACCAAAATATTATTAAAAAATTACTTTCAATCTTATCATATCAGTACGTCCCAAAAACCTAAGTACATTGATTTATATATACCCGACACAAAATGAATTACAATACTATGTCTTTTCTTATCATCGATAATTTTTTTTAAATAGGACTTTTTATTTTCTTTAAAAACGGTACGACCATGTTACACTTGAATTTTATCCTGTATCTTGGTGGCATTTACTATTTTATAACGTGGTACAGCCATGCTGCAGTTATATTAGTAGTATAGTTGTAGCACGGCTCGACCGGGGAAAGACTACGCTCTCACAGAATACCAGCATCAAATAGTAGCTTAATGCTGCTGTGTTTCGTATGGTGAGTGTAGAGAACCGGAGACCCTTTTTTACTGAAAACGAGGCATTCCATCTTAGTCCTCACGGGTGACAACGCATCTGCATTTTGATTCGTAATCGAGGATAGATGTAGATGTCCATGGGCCACAGCAACCACTTACCATCAGGTGGACTGTGTGCTGATTTGTCACGCTATTCTATAAAAAAAATTACATACAAATCACATGCAAATTGCACATGGTTGCAAATATTCAGACCCGGAACAAGTTATTATATTTATTACATACAAACATTTGTTCCTTCGGGATTCGAACCTGGGACCCAGCATCGTACACAGCGTCGTAGCCAAATAGTTAGCCACTGCGCTTCAGGGCCGTCAGTATAACAAACGAATGTATTGTTTAAACCATTGAGGTAAGTGTAACAAACATTAATCTTGTATGTACGCTGTAAGTCATAACAAAGTCGGTGAGTGCCGTGATTGAGATACCCGGAAAGCATGTACATTTTTCTACGTCATTTGCCGCGGGTTCTGTTGCGAACGCCAACGTGGCAGAGTCTCACTGCAGTAGAACTATGGCTGCAGCATTTATAGGCCAGCAAGAACTGTAAAAGACCACGCCCGCACAAAATATCAGCGTAAAATTGCAGTGTAAAGCTGCATTGTCCCGTAAGGTGAGTGGCAAGAACCGAAGACCTTTTTAATGGTACGAGGACATTCGATCTTAAGTCAAGTAAGTTATAGCATTCTGCATTTTAATACTTTATGGAGGATATACATAGGTGTGTCTATCCTGGGCTACAGCATCCACCTACCATGAAATAACTGGTAGCTCGTTTGTCACCCTTTATGATAAAAAAGACGTGGGACATTTTTAGCTCCTTCAGCATGCGACTATAGCAAGAGTTAATAGATATATTACAGATTAACGTATTTATTTATGAATCTTATTACTATCTAACACCAGGTGGAATCTCGGTCATAATGGGATACTTACGAGGGATGTCATCTTCTGAAATGTATGACTGAAAACCGGCGTCTCATAGCAGTTTATTGCTGCTGTGTTTCGTACGATGAGTAGCAAACTGGACACCTATTTTACTGGAGACGAGGGATTCCACCTTACCCTGTATTCAGATTCTTAATCGAGGATAGATGAAGATGTCAATTAGAAACGGCATTAAAAAATCTATCAGTCGCGGGACTGCAAGTCAGAACTGCAAACTTCTTAACTTCACAAACGTGTAAACATTGTTTTTGGGGTTGTAAAGAAACATTTTTTTAATTATTGTCGTACTATTATAGATCGAAGATCGTATTAATATAATAATAATATTATAATTTATTGCACAGCTTTACACAAAAAAAACGATTATTATATAATACAAACCAATTTAAGAATACATATCAATATTGTAAAATTTAATCAATTGGATTGCGGTTGGAGCGTGACGGTGACGCGAGTTTAGTGTTTTTTCCCCATCCTAAACGTGCCCTACTAAGCACGTTGAGCACTTTTGGGATGGGAGAAGTTTTCACGTTAAAAATGTAAGTAGCCCGACTGTTGGAGCTTATCTTATTGAGTTGACTACCAAATATAATCGAGGAACAACGTCATCTATGAGAACAAAACTAAGAGGACTAAAATGGAATGCCTCGTTTCCAGTAAAAAGGATTTTCATTTCTCGTCGTTTGCCAAACCACCAAACCCATTAGCATTATGCTGCTGTTTTACGCTGGTTTCCTAGGAGTATGTGCAGTGGCAGCTCTTGCAAAATTTGTAGGTGGTGCGAGATCTCAAAATAGCGCTCCTCTAAATATTATACAAACCTTAGTGTTCTTGTATTATGCAGTTGCTTATTCATGATTATAAATAACAGTTCGCGGAAAAAAGTTTATTCGTATTTTGTTTGTATAAAAATGAAGAAAATCTCTTTGGTTGTACTATTTGTATCTGGCTGCTTTTAATAGAACACATAAAAATAAAAGTATAAAACACTTTCCTGCCATTTTCCAATTGTTTTCTGTCCGCAAAATGAGTGAATCTAACTAAGAAATTCGATAAATTCTAAGGGTTTTTTTTTACCAAAAAAGGGAAAAATGCGATACGACGACGAGGAAGAAATGAGCCGCGATGAAAACTTGTTTTTGGTCCGGAAATTTTGATGTCAAACGTGCAGCTCGCTCTGATCGCCGTCATACAGTTAAAAGTCGAAGCCATTTTTTCAAAAGTGGAGCGAGATCGGCATACTTTTAGAATTGAGGATTTACCACTAAATAGTTTTAATCCATTTAAAAGTCTGGCTATACAAAAAATACACGATATTTGGGTACCACTCGAGCCCATTATAAAAAAAGTAATGAATCGTGTACTCATTTGCGATTCTCTATTGAAACGTTATGAAACCGAATCATTTTTTAAAAGATTGATCATTTGTGATGAAAAGTGGATCACCTACGACAAGAAAGTGTGAAAAAGATCATGGTCAAGGAGTAGTCAATCTCCACAGATTAAAGCGAAACCCGGATTAACACGCAATAAGGTGATGCTGTGTATGGTGGGATTAAGAGGGCATCGTTTATTATTACTTATGAACCTTTACCGCCGGTCAAAACCATCGATTCGGATCTCTACTGCCAACAACTAATGAGACTCAAGCAAGAATTTGAGAAAAAAAACGGCCGGAATTTATAAACAGAAAAGGAGTGGCATTTCATCATGATAACGCCAGACCAAATACACCTCTGGCCACTCAACAAAAATTGAGAGCTTGAGTGGGAAGTGCTTATTCATTAACTATATAGTCCTGACCTTGCATCCTCAGATTTTCATCTGTTTCGGTCTTTTCAGAATTATTTGGATAGCGTTAACATCAAAAGATGACAGTCAAAACTAATTGTCACATTTTTTTGATTAATAATTCCAAGATTTCTATAGCAACGAGATTATATCACTACCCACAAGATGGCAACAAGTTATCGAATAAAATGGTACAAACATATTATAATTAAATGTAATTACATTTAATTTAACTTTGAAAAAAAAAAGGTCCTGAATTTGTATATAATATGCGAAGAAACTTTTTCCCCGACCTTTTAGTATGGGACCTACCACGGCGTATATACGGTATGCATCACAGTGGTGCTCGTCGCTCATGACGTAGCATTGTCCTGCTCATTTACGTTAAAAAAATATTATCCATTCCGTTCGCACTACTCTACTGCGCTCGACAACCCTCAGCGGATACAGGTTTACCCATTTACCGTTAAAAAGAACCCCTTTGTCGTATCTCCTTAATTTCAGGGCAATCCACCAGAACTCTGGTGGAACTCTTTAATTATTCCTGTCATGTTCGTTCCGTATCATTAACCTCGACAATCATTCGTGTCTTGGTCAAACACTCGTTTTCCTCCCGAAGAGTCCTTTAGCCACTTGTAAGCAACAAAATACTCTCTTTCTTCTTTATTACTTCTCTGCTTCATTAGTGTCAACAAA